GCCCTTCCCATAAATTCTTATCGCGTGCCTTGTTTCCACAAAGTAGTGGACATCGGCGCATTGGGACCCCTAAACTGTCTTCAATTTTGTTCGTGACGGCCAGAGGTCTGCGTGATAACCCGATAAACACATGGTGGGTGAAATAAAACAAATATTTTTTTGTGTTTTCTTAGTTGATGTTTCGTCTTTGTATCCACTCTCTAAGTTAGAAATTGTCATATCACTAATATCGTTGTGTTGTATTTTGTCAATGAAATGCTACTATCTACATTGTAGCTTTCCACATATAGATAATTTTATAAATATTATTCGTGTCAGTGTGCATTTAACGGACGCAATGTTCACGTAAATTTAAACATGTAGTTCTCTGCTTCACGCAGGAATTAAATTAAATACAACACAAATATAAAAGTATGTGTATGTATTAATTTAGACTATTATTTGTACCACAGTTATAATTTCGCTGCAAACGGACGAAATTGTAGTCAACAGCCTCTCGAAAACAGATAAAACGAATATCCGTGTTTAAAACTTTTTGGTTTCGATCTTTTTAGTATCGAGTTTATAAATAAATATTCTCCCAAATTGATTTCAATTACGTACCCCAAAGTTTCAAACAAAATCGTAGAGAGAGAAACAGAGAGGATACAACCCTTTTCTAAGGAAATACGAAGTAATTTTAACTTTAAAATTTTAGTTGAAATAAGTTTGAAAGATTTAGTAACGTAAATAATAAAATTATTTCAGCAGAAAATATTTTAAAGATTTTGTCTTGAATAAGATTATAACTTTTCAAAATGATGTATATTTTATCACAAATGTACGGTATGAGTGTTATAAATATGTGGGCCAAGCCTCTGGGCGGTTGGTGTTGCCGTGGTCCTTGCGACTGTTCGTCGGCTCAGGTAAGGTCGGTGGGCCACGAGGAGTGAACTGAGACACCCTGTCTCAGCTCACCCGTCGGACCTGATCCTCAGCAGCAGCTACCGCGTCAAATTCCTGCATTATATTGAACGTGTGTGCTAGGTGATTCTCACCCGAGTAATACGCCCAGTAGGACGCGGTTTCCGTGTGGTGATAGACGGACACCTGTCTATCACCGATACCAAGGGGAGGGCTGTTCGAGAGATTAGAAATCAGAAATTTGAGGTGAGAGATTAAAGGGTAGATATTACAAATGTCATAGAGGTAAGAGCAGAGAGAGAGAGAGAATGATTTGTTAAGCCTTGCATAACAAGAGCTTCGAATTAATTTTTATTATTTTCCCTTAAGTGTGCATGGTAGTTATTGCATACTTACGCTACCGGTCACCAGTGTTCATCTTTCGAATCTGATTCTGCAAACTGACCTTTTTTTTTGTGAGGGTAAAATCATCAAATGACTTCTCCCGCCCAGGGCCGGGCAGGAGGGAGTGTCAGACTCTTACTGACTAAAAACCCCCCTGTTCCTTCTCCTGCTCTGTGCCGAGGTCGCGGTGCCTCATTGCGCTTACCCCGCAACCCCGGCTGAACATCAGCCCTTTAGGGCCCTGTCTGTGGTGGTTGCAAACTGACCTTGAGACTTGTTTATGAGTCATATTCATGTTCAAAGGTGCTATAGGAGCTTAACAAAGGTTGTCACTTCAAGCCACTAAATCGAGACGCTGTGACCTGGGGTGGCCAGACCTGCACTGTGTTTGTGTTTCCTTTTTAATTATAAAATTTAATATTGCATAATTTCAAAAATAAATTTATTAAACAACATATGTATGTGTTTAAGTGACTAGGTTTACTATTATTATTTTTACTGTAGAACTGTGGGATTAGTTCCCCAGCCGATATACTCGGTTTCCACCCTTTAACATTCAAAAGCTTGCGGCGAAATACATGTTTGACGCGTAGCAGATTGGCTACGGCGTAGCAGGGATCACCATGTCAGTTACGCCGTAGCTACAATTCGAAAACAGTTTTCGATGAAATCATGCAGCGCTACAATGGAAGTACAATGTTTTAAGGAGGTGTTCTCAATTTTGATAAAATAATTGATCTGAGTTAAGAAAAAACTATGTATGTGTACATATCATGTTTGATTTGACGATATAAAATAGTTACTTCCAAATATTACCGTACCGTACGATTACTATATTCGAATTCTAAAATAAAAATGGATTTTTTTAAATGAGTAAATATTTGTGTTTTAATTTGGAGTTATTCGAACGTGATTGGAGAGCCCGTAACCAATTAGTATTTGCAAAAAGAAATGCTTTTTCATTTTTCCAATCTTTTTTTATCGGTAGTTATTGAAGGCGAGGATATGACCTATGGATTACAGTTTAGTATTAACATATAAATACTGTCAAATCGATCGGTTAACTATAGGGCTGGACGTCGATGACTATCCGATATGAAATTTTATAGGTTTCGGTTTGATTTTTTTAAATGTTGCCCCACATTATGGTTTTCTCATATGACCTGGAACAACAATTTGTGGATCATAAAGAGTTGTTCCGTGTGCAAATCGAAACCGCGGCAGCCAATTGTTCAGCCACCTCGCAAACTGTGCAGTCAGAACACAACGTTTGAAGTACGTAACGATAGGATCTTGACTACTAAGTATCATAGTCAGGTAAAAAAAGATTAGAATAATGTCATATAACACTTACTCATTGTTAGTGTTCTCCTATACATTTTTTATGGGATAGAGCCACATAGGAGAAATCGGATTGCCTGACGGTAAACCATTTGATTGGTGGTGCTAATAGACACTTGGTATTGGGCATTTGGTATCTGGAGGGGGAAGGCAGGATCGTGAATATAAGTTTACTGGAGGCCCCTCCAGTAAACTTATATTCACGATGAAACAACACGCTCAAACTTGTTTGTAAGCGGATTGGTTTATGTGAGGCCGTTGTATCACACTTAAATGTCATAAAATAATGTTAATGCAAATAAGTTAAATCAATGTTAGAATGACGTTATGTGTATTGCAATGTATAAAAAAAATTGCAATGTTTACCAGGATTTAAACAAAAAAATGGAAGAGAAAATAATATATCTGATATTGTATCATAGTGTTGCCATTTTATGGGTGTTTTAGTTCAAATAAAATGTCTTTTGATGTTGTCTCAATAGTATCTTGTATAAATCAGTATATGTATATACCAAAGGCTTTTTGGCTTTAATCGTAAATCATTTGATGTGAATAGAAGAGGGAATCTTTCGGCATGTATTTTTTTTTTATCTTATAAATATATTTTTGTGAAGGTTCTGGTTAAGTGAAGTTGTATGCTTAAAGACTGCTTTGTACGACTGGTTTTGACTTGTTCAGGTAAAATATATTTTGGTCTTCGATTTCAACATTGAACGTTTAAGAGTTCTTTTTTACAATTTTATTAACTTTGTATTTTAATTGCATTATGGGTATGCAGAGGATTCAAAGTTACATTTTTATCGCTTTATATTTTGAATAAATCATCTGATAACTTCTCCTGCCCAGGTGAGGGAAGAGGGAGTGTCTTTGTATGCTCTGGGCCGAGGCTGCGGTGCCTCATTGCGCTTACCCCACAACCCCAGCTGAACATCAGCGCTATAGAGTCCATCTAACCGTGGCTGAAAGGTTAAACCTTTACGATTCAAAGTCCAGTGAATCAGGATGCCACACTGCATTTTCAAGAGAGATAGAAGTTATTTAATAATTTCCTCAAAAAAATAATAATATCTAAATTCGCTTATGTAATCGTTTAAAGGTTCAGTCAAACACAGTGTCAGAAAAGTTTATCGATTTATTACAAAAACAAAATATGTGCTCGTTTTATATATGCATACAGCATTTATATTCTTCAAGATGTTTTTATCAAACATATTAACTTTTTCATTCATTTCGAACGTTTTCTCCCCGAATTCCAAAAATATATTTGACATTATACTTATGTATAAAGCTAAATGTATTTCTGTAATCATATCCCGGTATGTGTTTATCTTCAAACATCTCTGTACAAAAATCCACATACAAAAATAAATCAAGCGACGTTTTCCTTACTTTCTTTTCTGTAGATTTATGATTTATACCTTTCATGCCCCTCTGAGCAATGTCCTGAAGCAATTTGTTTCCGAAGACGAGTGTACCTTTGGAGTAACATACATAATAATATGTATATTTGACGATCTTTCTCGTGCATATGTGATAGTGATTGAGCTGGATGAAATGACCTGTCTAAATCCAATCTTTAATTACGAGGTCACGTGATTAGTACAAGTCACACCAAAGGTAAGGTAAGGTAAGGTAAGGCAAGGTAAGGTAAGGTAAGGTAAGGTAAGGTGGGATCATTAATGAGGCAGATATAAAAAACAAACTTTTGATCAGTTTTTTCATTACCTAAAATATATGTCTGTATGCATGCTTGTGAAAAGGAATTTTTAAAGCAGATCTTCAACCGATCGAGCTAGAACTGTGTTACACTTTAATTTTATATGTCCCTAAGTTCAGAGCTGTTTGATTTGCCCGGTAAAAGATGTTTATAAAAATGTTTTTTTTTTTTACATTCTTTGTCATGTATGACGCGTTAGCATACTGATCGTAATTTATTCTGATCTATATCACTCATACAAGTTTCGGATCTTAAAAAATCTGGATTAATAAATTGTGGATCACGCATGGAGTCGTTCAGTGTGCAGTATAAATCAAGTCCAATATTTGAATTGTTTTCTCACATAATAGTGACTCTAGTTACAAAGATCTCAGCGTATGTCCCGTAGGAATTAGCTGTCCAATACTAAGATCCCAAGCGGTGGGCTCGGAAACAAACGTTATTAACATTTACAAACATTCGGGGCCATGAACAAACAGTTACTGACATTAATTTCGGCTTAGAGAAGCAAGCAGAGTAGTTGCAGAATATGTAGCATGTTGGTACTGGTAGCTATAAGATGCTTTGTTTTGAAGAAACTAGTCTAAGAATTTCCTTTTATCATAAGTTTGACTTAATTGAGTTTTAAATGTGGGAGAGCCATGCTTCGGCACAAATGGGTCGGCTCGACCGGAGTGATACCACGGCCTCACAGAAAACCGGCGTGAAACAACCAAAGCGTTGTGTTTCGCCGTGTGAGTGAGGTTAGCGGAGGCCCAATCCTTCCTCTTCCCCAATCCCTCCTCAATCCCTAAATCTCCAAATCCCGCGGCGCTGATTGCTTACCATCAGGTAATCCGTCTGCTCGTTTGCCGACCTATTAAATAGAAAAAAAAACTGTGTATTTTTTGTGTGATCCGCCTGCACGTTAGCCTCCTGTGCCATAAAATTACACTACGTGCACTGAAACGTAATACATATAAATATAACGCTCCACTTTGTATTATTAAACAGATGTCAAAAACTATAATAAAAAATGGTCACGAAAAATTAACAATAAAAATGAGACAATTTGTAATAAAAAGGTATTGACCGTTCACTACAAACAACAATAAGCACTAAACAAATGAAATGATGGAGATTTGCATATAAATTGTATTTGAAATCGATATATAAACTCCGGCCAACGTAAGCGCGGGCCTGCGGACGGCGAGTAAGGGTAGTTCGCCGCCCGACCAGAACCCGAGCGTACGGCGCGTAGCGTTCCGCGCGCGCCTCATAGAGCCTATAGACCACCACAGACGGGGCCCTATAGGCCTGATGTTCAGCCGGGGTTGCGGGTTAAGCGCAATGAGTCACCGCGGCCTCGCAGAGCAGGAGAAGGAACGGGGGGGCGGGGGTTAGTCAGTAAGAGTCTCTCGCTTGACCCTGAGCGGGAGAAGTCATTTTATAATTTTCTCCTTTTAAAAAAAACTGTATTTGAAATAGTTTTGTATAGTAAAATGTATTCAGTAAATCATTCAAAGCGTTTTATTCCGTGAATTTGTTAATAGTGATTAATTTCGGACGGTTGAAACAGATTTTAATTAAAGTAACAGAATGCTAAACGAAATCCCGATGTAGTTAAAATTTTCAAAAAGCTTTAGTGCATCAAATCTGTAGTCCTGATATTTTTTACTTAAAGAAAATAAAATAATTAAGTCCTGAGTTTTAAAATGCATAAATTTTGCTGTATAAGGTTTTTATTTTGTGCTCTGAGCAATAAAGCAATATTTTTCTATTTATATTATTGCAAAGTTTTATTTGTTTTTCTGACATACGAAGGACGTATTTTGATTCAGCAGTTTCCCTTTGCACTTATTTCGTTTTGGGAGGGTATAATAATCAAATTACGCCCAGGGTCAGGTAAAAGGGAGTGAGACTCTCACTGACTTAAAACCCCTGCGTTTCTTCTCCTACTTTAGGCTTTACGATACGGCACCTTATTGCGATTGACTCGCGGCCTCGGTGGAACACTCGGCTGAACATCAGCCCTGTCTTACGTTGAGATACGAACTACACCTTAGGATATTTATTACCTTACCCTTGCACCGAGCGTACGGCGCGTAGCGTTCCGCGCGCGCCTCAAAGAGCCAATAAACCACCACAGGCGGGGCCCTAAAGGGCTGATGTTCAGCCGGGGTTGCGGGGTAAGCGCAATGAGGCACCGCGACCTCGGCCCAGAGCAGGAGAAGGAACAGGGGGGTTTTTAGTCAGTAAGAGTCTGACACTCCCTCTCGCCCGGCCCTGGGCGGGAGAAGTCATTTGATGATTTTCCCCTCACAAAAAAAAACCCTTGCAGTAGCCGGGGTTGCGGGGTAAGGGACTTCGGCCCAGGAGAAGTAACAGGGGGGTTTTTAGTCAGTAAGAGTCTGACACTCCCTCCCGCCCAGCCCCGGGCGGTAGAAGTCATTACATGATTTTCTCCTCACAAAAATAACCCTTGCAGTAGCCGGGGTTGCGGGGTAAGGGACTTCGGCCCAGGAGAAGTAACAGGGGGGTTTTTAGTCAGTAAGAGTATGACACTCCCAGAAGTCATTACATGATTTTCCCCTCACAAAAAAACCCTTGCAGTGAAACAAAACGCAAGCGCGGTTTCACGCCAAGTTTTTGTGATGTCGTGGTATAAATCCGATCAAGCTTGTCCAATCGAGTCGAGGCAGGCTCTCCCACACTGCAATATTTTTAGGAATACGATAAAATATGTTCTATTGAAAGTTCATGACTGTTCTGAAGTTTTAACTAGCTTATTGACAAACTTATTCGTTGCTTCATTGTTGTTAAAGTAACACGGTTCAGTATGTTTGAATGCGTTTATTGTCGTGTCGTACAAACTCGTCTGAATAAATTATGAGAAGTCGGTAAACTATTCCATTGGTGTTACTTCAACTTATGCTCACTGGCTTTTCCTCCTCTCCTGTGGTATCTTAGTATTTGATTAGGATACAAGTTTTAAAATCCCTATTTTAATTGGTTATAATAATCGAATATTATGAACATTTATCTCTAATTGGTAGTTTAGCTCTGGGTAGCTGGGTTCACGACGGTTTTATATAAGACTCTGATATTATTCCAATGGAGTCAACCCATTTGTGAAAAGACATAAGCTCTCTTGCTTTTAGTATAGCTGTCCCACACCTAAATCTGTAGTCAATGGGCGACGCCGATTGCTTACCTTAAGAAAAAGTAACGTCGAGTTTTGCCATTTGGCTGCGGCATCCTTAAAATATTAAAACGTCGATTATATAGTTGCATTGAACTACAGAACTTTTATATTATGCTTGCTGTTATGAACTTTTTATACATTCCGACTCGCACTTGGTGTTTCTTTGATTTGCTTTTTATTTATAATAGGTCTTCACCTATGAAATTGCCGTTCTGCAGTACTGGCCATTTCAAATCAAAATAGTTTTTGTTAGGCTAAGGCTAATTAATTTTGTTTTAAAAACATGGGATTCTTTTTTCAAAAGTAGTTTTGTTTATTGATTAGTGTTACATTTTCATCGCATTTCAAATAAAAAAAATCGTTTAATTTTTTTCATGCAAAACGGCAATTTCCTAGGTAAAGACCTATTATTAACTTACACAAAAACATTAAGATACTTTGGTTTCGTAGTATTATTATTTAAACCTACATTTACACTGAAGATTTCAGTGGTAGCCATTTCACTGAAAAATAAGTTACAGTCAATTAATTTTGCATGTAAACCAACTACGGTTTATATCTCTATAAAATTTCTTATCGCTTCCGTTGCATCGATTGCTTTGACATTAAACATGATTTTGTGTAGACTCTTTCTACTTTTGTCTTTAAGATGTTTTTCTGAAACTTATTTTGGTGAGTTTTAATTTATACCAATATTATATTCATGGTAGTTATCACATCATCATCATTATCATTTTTATTCAAATCAAATATGAACTAAACGCTGCGCTACATCACCGCATCCGAGCACGCTGCTCATGAGAGAACCCCTCTGTGGTTCGAAACTAGTAGAGCTTTTCTCGATATTATACAAGTGAGTGACCCGCGATTTTTAGTTAATTTAGTATGTCTCACGATAGTTATCAACTTATTATATAAACATAAACTAGTTATACCGCAACGCTGCATCGTGATCCAGGTTGGAATAGGAGGAAGAGAAGGATGGGGTGGTTTTTAGTCAGAAAGAGTCTGACACTCCCTCTCATCCCACTCATAGCAGACAAGGCAACGTACCAATAAACCGAAAAATGTCTTTTGTGTTTTAATAATAACTATCACGAGACATACTAAATTAATTAAAAATCGCGGGTTACTCACGTGTGCGTGACATGGCCGCGTCCGTGCACGCTACTCTAGAAGAACCCCTCTGTGGTTCGAAACTAGTAGAGCTTTTCTCGATATATAGAAGTGAGTAACCTCACTCACACGGCGAAACACAACGCTGTGGTTGTTTCACGCCGGTTTTCTGTAAGGCCGTGGTATCACTCCGGTCGAGCCGACCCATTTGTGCCGAAGCATAGCTTTCCCACACTTATCATCTAAATATTATTATTTTATTTCAGGTACTTTAGCACTTCCAAATGATACAATTCATATACAGCTTTGGAGAGCTCAAGGAGATTTAAATGCTGAGGTTCTTTCCGAGTTTGATGATCGGGGTAAGCATTTTCATTGTTTGCTTTCACATCGCTACCTAAATACTGGACGAAAAGTAAACAGATTGTTTCTTTTTATTACTTATCTGCTAAATCTCATCCAGAACTATTTGATTCATTTTCTAAAGAAACAAAACAGAAACTTTTACACGCAGCCAATTAAACTTGGTAAAAGAAAGATAAAATAAACTAGGTACGTTTGTCTTTATGGAAAAAGTATGGGATCGTCTTTCGAGCCATTAAATGTAATCGTTTAGCCGACATAGTACACTATAATGCCACTAATGTGGCTCCATAAGGCTCCGGTCACGACAGAACTGCGTCACAAAGAAATCAATGGGCCGTGGCAAGACGGATCGTTCTAGCGGTTCCTATATTCAATAACCATTAGTAATATACTTTCAAATAGTTTGCTATGGTACTCAGAGTCATTTAAGGGTTACTTAACTTACCTTTGTTATTGTTTTCGGAACAAAGTCATAAGGTATAGTTTAAGTATTCAGTATGTCTCAGTACAGCAGTGTGATTCTGTAAGACTTCATTCTAAACTTCGAATGTGAATCCGCCGTGAGTAGTAGTACACTAGCGCTACACTTGCGAGTTGAACTAAATTGACAACATCATTTTGAAAGATAAAGTATGAAATGACGTTAAAAGTGGCATTCTAAAATTTAATTTCCCCGTCACTTCGACGCTCACTTCGCACTCGAACACGATTCGAAATCAAACAAATTTTATAGAATCGACGTGCAGGTGTAGTGAACTGTACACTATTTTTATAGTTAATTGTAATGGAGTGAAGTACTCGTAGATAGTTGAGTTTGGAGTTGTGAGTGTAAACACTTCTAGAAATCTCGAAAGGTTTATTCTTAAAAGTTAAAGGTATGATTGTTAGGTGATTCTCACACTGGTACGTTCGGTAGCGAGTTGAAGTGCACACTGGTCTACAATTGAATGCCGCGACTGAAAATCGCCAGATATGCATAATCATCATAATAAAATAAGTTTAATTAACATAAATTTTAGTGTACGTAAACCGAACAGTCTCTGAGTATGGCAGTTTTAATTATTTCTACTAGGCACATTCCCAGTCAGCTCTGTATGTTCTCAAGAACTACTGTAATACTATGACAAGTTATAATTATTATTCATACTGAAATACAAAGTTAAGTTTTCTGTGAATCTTTCTCTTCATAACAACAGATTAAAATTTTTGAGTCAAATCAGAAATTTTAATAGAGAGAAAGAGTAATATAAGTGGTGTCCTTTGTGTGTGATTGTAGTATGGTATTTTTTGAGTATACTTACAATTTTTATTGCAAGCATCATCAGGTACACAGTTAATAATCTTTGATCATTTTATGACAACCAATGAAAGAGCGATTAATACATATAGAAAAATAAAGACAAGAACATTTTTGCTTCTCAGTACTTTCCTGATTGTTCTTTTTCTATTACTTCCAGTCATAAAAGTAGTTTTAGGTCAAAGAGAGATGATCTCCCACTACCGGCACCGTAAGCGCGGGTCTGCGGCCGGCGAGTAAGGGTAGCTCGCCGCCCGACCAGAACCAGACCCCTCAAATAGCCAATAGACCACCACAGACGGGGCTCTATAGGCCTGATGTCCATCCGGGGTTGCGGGTTAAGCGCAATGAGTCACCGCGGCCTCGGCCCAGAGGAGGAGAAGGAACGGGGGTTTTTTTAGTCAGTAAGAGTCTGACACTCTTTCTCGCCTTACCCTGGGCGGGAGAAGTCATTTGATGATTTTCCATTTCTTTTTCAGCACATTACATTGATGAAGTCTGGAAAAGGGACAATAGGACGATTGATTTTACTATATTTAATGTCGAAGCTGAGAAAATGTCTACTTTCTTGGATAAACACAATGTTTCTCATCGAATTTTAATAGACGATGTCCGTGCGAAGGTTGATGATGCTCTTGTCCATACTTTTCCAACCAGACGCAGTGGATATGGTAAGAATGTTTTACTTGCTAGTTCTGTAGCTTCTATTCCGTTTGGCACAAGGTTGAATTTTCATCATATTAATACATGTCAATTCCTGATTCCCTGATAGTAGAAGTCGTTTATTATTATGACATATTGACTTTTAGTCATCCGACTGTGAATACTCGACAATTGGCCACTTTGGCAATTTTGCATTTTTTTCAGGACAAGATACGATCTGAGGAACTAACTAATCTTGAATGACACTAAGGAATCGTATAAGTGATAGTTCAATGTGGTTGAGTGCAATTTATAGATGTAAAAAATAATGTAACCTTCCATGTTATTCAGCATTTTTTTGAGAAAAGTAATTTTTATATCCATTTTTTTCACCTCAATTTAAACTGTAACAGTTTCATGATTCTAGAAATACGAAGCAACTTTGTACTTATAGAATATTCCTGGTATGTTACGGAATGTCTAAAACTTGTAATGTTTTGAAACTTATGCTGATACGCCAAAGATGTTTAGGTCAAACTTTGGGGCGTGGGCGCGCCTAATGTTATTTTGACTTCGGTCGACTCAATCCGGGATTAAGTTTACCAACATTAGGTACTTTAGTCGGTAGTATATACCTTCAATAAATAAAAGTTTAAATAATTTAGCATGTTTTATTAAAAATATCGTATCTCAAGACCTTCCAACATATTTTGGTAATATTTATTTAAGTTTTATTTGCAAATTGTTTTGGAATCATTACGGTAGTTCAAAATGCGTAATGTATATATATTTTTTTTATGTAATTGGTCGGCAAACGAGCAGACACGTTACGAGTGCGTTGCCGACCTTTTAGGGATTAGGGATTTGGAGATTTAGGGATTGAGGAGGGATTGGGGGCGGGTAAGGATTGGGCCTCCGGTAACCTCACTCACACGGCGAAACACAACGTGTGGTTGTTTCACGCCGGTCTTCTGTGAGGCCGTGGTATCACTCCGGTCGAGCCGACCCATTCGTGCCGAAGCATGGCTCTCCACACTTCAAGAGAAGAGCAGATATTTACTTTCAAAATGTTCTTTGCATTCTGAAACCGTACTTTCTTTCTTGGATTACTTGAACAAAGAAATCGAATTTTGAACTTATCTCTTATTCCATAGATTTAGATGAATCTGATGCAATCCTAAAACCAAACAAATAATATTCAATAGCACAATTTGTACTTAATTTCTTTTACAAAATTTTTCTTCGTCACACAGGTGGAATGCCCAGCGGTACTTTGGATTGGAAGAGGTATCCAACATTGGATGAAATTTATGCATTTTTGGAGAAAATCGATAAGAAATATTCGTACTGCAAATTGATTACTCTTGGCAGGACTTTAAACAATAAACCCATTTATGTAAGACCTTTATTTTGTTCTGATTAAGGTTGAAAACTAAATAAAAGTCACTTACGTCATTTATCTATCATACTTGTAATATCTCTCAAGTTTATGTCCAGAAAAGGATGGGAATAGACTGAAGTGAAGATGATCAGGATAATGCTTTCTTGTGCAGTATGATGCACCATCTAGTTTCATGTGTAGGTCGAAACAAACGTAGTTTTGTGTTTTCCAAAATAAACTTCATAGTTTAAACTCTACACCTACACTTTAATATTGTTTGATCTCTTTCGTTTTGAAGTTTTGTTGTATTAAATTTCCATTACATCGGATTATGAATGCGATAAAGTAAATTCGTATTAAAATCTTCCGAATAAAATTATTATAAAAACAATACTTTTTTGGGTTTATGTGAACAGTTTACTCTTTCACGTAAAAACTTTTTAACGGAAAAATAAAATTGTCTCTTATCTGAATTAACACATACTATGTACTTTTACACTTGGCTACTCTTTATACCGATAACAGAGACGAAGCCGGTGGCAAAAGCTAGAATGTGTTAATTATGGTTTTAGGTGTTGAAAATATCAACAATGAACCCTACAAATAAAGCAATACTAATAGAAAGTGGGATACATGGTTCCGAGTGGACAGCAGTTATATCCTCATTGTATTTTATCGATTCTATTGTGCGAAACTTTGACCAACAACCTTCATATGTTAAAGAGCGAGACTGGTAAATATATTTTTGCTATTTTTACATATATTTCATACTAGCCCTTTCCCGCGACTCCGTTCGCGTGGAATAGTGACTTCCTGCAGATTTTTAGGTATAGAAATCAAGCTTAAGCCGTTTTGAGATTTCTAGTTAAGTTGGAATAAATGATTTCGATATTGATTTTCATCATCATCAGCCTATAAGGGCCCACTGCTGAGCAAAGGCCTCTTCTCATACGGAGAAGGTTAGAGCATTAATCACCACGCTTGCTCAATGCGGGTTGGCGATTTCAGACCTATCACTAGAAATTATAAGTCCAGGTTTCCTTACGATGTTTACCTTCACCGTTTGCCAGTGGTGTCTAAATAATCATAGAAAGTACATATAACTCGGAAAAAGTCACATTGGTACTTGCCAGGTTTCGAACCCACACCCTCATGCATGAGAAGCGGGCGCATTAACCTCCGGGCCACCACCACATAGATATTGATTTTGACCTTGATGAAATAAGAACTGCACCGATGAAAATAGAAGCAGTTTTTGCGTAATTTCACCGTATGTGTTCTCTTACTTAAATATTTACTATAGGTACAACTTTGAGAGTTTTTTTTTATTTTTCAGGCATATTATACCAGTCCTTAATCCAGATGGTTACGAGTACAGTCTGTACAAGGATCGTTTATGGAAGAAAAACAGGCGACAAGTCAGCGATTTCTGTTACGGAGTAGATCTCAATAGAAATTTTGAGTAAGTTATTAGTTTTTATGTAAATATTAATATAATTTTTGACGAAATACCTTGACGCAGACGCAGTTTATGTGATGTTTGCACTTCATTTTTTTTATTATTTTGTATTGTTTTGTACCGTTGTTGTGATCTGAGAAATAATGTCATCTTCTGAAGAGGGGCAGAGAGTTTTTATTTTTAATAGATAATATTAGAAACAGTGATTTGTTGGAGTCCGATTTCTTTGATTTCTTCTTCTTTTGTTAGTTTTTATCTTGTTAACGAATACCTAAGTATTGTAGGTTCTAGTCAAAGTAATCTTAATGTACAGTTTAAAAATATACAGAACAGTGTGATATACACACAACATGGTAGAATTTCATAGATTTTTCATTAAGATACGTGACGTAAGGCTATATTACCGAATCAACCCGACTTGACCCCATATAAGAGGCAAGCGCGGCTTAACCCTACGACCTATCGACTCGGAAGCGTTTCAACCCCCAATCCAACTAAGCCTGTGACAGCAATATTTTTTCTCCTTGTCTTAAGACTTGCGTGGTCCAAATATCCCTCGTGGCGTTTAACGTGTTAAATCCTGAATTAGTTACTTGTTAGATGTTATTTGGCGACGGAAGTTCGCTGTAACCAAAGCGATTGGCATTTAGATTATAAGTACAATCGTCTTTGATTCTTCATCCACCATAATCTTTTTTAAATATGGATAGGAGTAAGTTAAAAAGTTAGTGGTGTTTGGTTATCCGTTTCTTCATCGAAGAGATTTCTCTTTTTTATCGTTGAAAGATTATCAAATAACTCCTGCGGCTCTGGTTCAAGAAGAATGGAGTATCAAACTTTAACTAACTAAAGTCCACTCTGTTGCAACTCCTGCTGGGTACCGTGGGTTTGGTATCTTTTGGCCATCTGCTCGATAAATCGTCAAATAGTCGTTTAAGTGTACGAGGGCCATGGTTCGGCACGAATGTGTCGGCTCGATCGGAATGATACCACAGTCTCACAGAAAACCGACGTGAAACACAATAAAGCGTTGTGTTTCTTTCCTTCCCTCAATCTCTAAATCTCCGAAAATGCAATCTATACTAATATTATAAATGCGAAAGTAACTCTGTCTGTCTTTCAGTCTTTTCTTCACGCCTAAGCTACTGAACTGATTTATGTGACAATTAGTAATGACATAGTTTGGAACTCGAGAAATGACATAAGTTTTTATATCCAAAATCTGCAGGAAGTCACTATTCCACGCGAACGGAGTCGCGGGGAAAAGCTAGTTTCACATAAAAAGAGAGATCGATAGTATATTTCTATTCAATAGTTTCTGTAGCTTGTCGCGACGGCCATGTGGCCATGGTGTTAGATCACAGGATTATCGACGAGGGACACATAAGTTTAAGTGTTATTTCGTAGCTTTATGAGAATAATCTTAATTTTTTTTTATGTAATATATCGCCACCGAGCAGACGGATTACCTGATGGTAAGTAATCAGCGCCGCCCATGGACACCCGCAACGGAGAAGTTACGAGTGCGTTGCCGACCTTTTAGGGATTAGGGATTTGGAGATTTAGGGATTGAGGAGGGATTGGGGGTGGGGAAGGATTGGGCCTCCGGTAACCTCACTCACACGGCGAAACACAATGCTGTGGTTGTTTCACGCCGGTTTTCTGTGAGGCCGTTGTATCACTCCGGTCGAGCGGACCCATTCGTGCCGAAGCATGGCTCTCCCACATAAATTAAATATCCTCCATGTGTTAGTATGAAACAGATTTGATTGGTTCGGTTAGCTATTTGGTATAAGGAATCTATTTTCGGTAGCCATAAATTTCATTTATATGCCGAAAGAAAATGTATTTTTCGGTTTTCATATTGGGGATAACGTTTATCTTTTGGATGGTTAAGGAAAAATATGTTTTGAAATCAATCTGTAGTAGTTATATGGATGTACTTAATGATGTAGTGTATTGAGCTCAGAATTTTGATAATCGTTGTCGCTTTAAAAGTTAAACAAATGAATATGATTTCTGAAGGTCATCGAGAAGTGTGGTCAATGAATAAATTCATTTGTTTCGTTTCTAGATCGATATCGATTATCGATCGACTGAACTTGCTAGGTTAGCAGTATTCTACTTTAAATAGCTCATCAAACCCTAAGCAAACGCCGGCGCTCGTTCTTCTATTGTATCTCGAATTACCACCATTGAAATGTAAATGTTCTTCGATCTTTATGATTGTACCTTTTGTAAAAAGTGCCAAAGAGCCAAATGGGTACATAGATTTTTAAAAGCCACATTTTCAAACCTTTTCTTTAATACTTAAGAGGAATTATAAGCTTTTACGGCTTTAGCATAAAAACAGTGCTTACCGCCCGGGGGTTGAAACTCGACAAAAAACCCTTTTTGTTTTTTGTTGACTATTTCTTAATTAATAAACAAGAATAAAATAAAATGCGAAACGCAGACAGAAAAGAAAACAAACGCTTTTTTAATAATAATAAAAAATACAATAAGTTTTATTTTTTGTTACTAACAAAGAGGCCTCATCTGGTCTACTGGTTTTAAGAATAGCAAAAATATTAAATAATTTGATTTTAGAATTGTCATGAAAAAATGGCAATTGGTATTGTAACCTCTATTAATGAAATTGCCCAAAGAATGTGTAATGAACAAAATAGTAAAAAAGAAAAAGAATGAACGTTCTTCTCGCCATTTCATAGCTGTATGATGTGGAGGCGATATTTTTACACCGACAATATAACTGGGTCAATTGCATGCTCTAGACAGAACAAATGGCCCAGCAGGCCACAGACATAATTAGAATTCACAGCAAAACCAGCCAAAGGGAAGGCTTTCGTTATTTAACGAGAGGCCAGCCTAACCGCAATAATTCTTTCAAATCCACAATTAGTACTTCAAATACTTATTTTCGAGCTTTTCTCGGTATTTTTAACAAAATTTGCTGTAGCCATGTGGTCTGTTCTCATTTTTATTCATGAAGTGTTAGGCACAAGTTTGTACGTTGTATAATTTTCGGTCGTCGACGTTAATTACTTCGTAACTAGTACCTCGTTTCTTATTGTTTCGAAATTGTTGGCGTTTTGGGAGTTTTTGGACGTTTTGAAGGTTATAAAAGAGTTGTTTTTGAGGAGAAAAAATCATCAAATGATTTCTCTTGATCCAGGGTGAGGCAAGAGGGAGTGTCAGACTCTTACTGACTAAAAATCGTCTCGTTCTTTCTCCTGTGCTAGGCTGGAGCTGCGGTACCTCTCTTTTTTTATGTTGTCTTTTAAGTAGCAATTTGGGTAAATTGGTGATTTGGGATTTGGGATTTGGGTAAATTGATTGATCGACATGTGGTATTTCTTTTTGTCTCTTTAGAATGGAACATATTTTCTTTGGTCTTGGAATAACTGACAGTTGATGCGGTGGCTGAGCAAACGGCTGCCGTGCGACGTGCTGTGGATTTGATTCCCGTACGGGAATTATACTTTGTGTGATCCACAAATTTTTGTGACGAGTCGGATGTAATGTGTGTGTGTGTGTTTATCATATAATTGTAACTCCTGACTTCCAGACCCAGAACAACAATTTGTAGATCACATAAAGAGTTGTTCCGTGCCTGAATACATCCCACGACACGTGCGCACTCAGCAAGTGCAGCAAATCCAAATAAACATTATTTCAACGCAATAATTGTATAAATGCTTTGAAAATAGTTTTCCCCAAATTGCAACCACGCAAACAAAAACAAGTTACTTTGTATATATCATTTTAATGAGACCAACAAACTTTCTCTTCGCAATTATTTCCATGAATCTACAGCGCGAGGTTGCAGAGAGCGCTAATATAACAGTTTATATTTGTACTGGCACGCTACCGTCATTTATAAACGAGAGCAAAGTGGGGGTTACCCTTACCCCCCACTACCGCATTACATCCCCCAAATTGCAACACAACCCCTTTAGGGATTCGCAAGGGTTCGGTTTCGTGTTATCGTTTTTTATCATAACGGGTATACAAGAAAATGTCCTGAAGATGGCATTTGGTTCATTAATATTTTGGTTATGTTTGAATCGCATGTTATAAATCCTCATTGTATACATTACTAGCGACCCGCCCCGGCTTTTTACGGGTGCAATGTCGATACTATTTTTTCCATTATAATGGAATAGATGTAATTAAACACATACAAACCTTCCTCTTGAATCATTCTATCTAATAAAAAAACTGCATTAAAATCCTTTCCGTAGTTTTAAAGATTTAAGCATACATAGGGACATAGAGACAGAAAAAATGACTTTGTTTAATACTACATACATATGATGGCTTTTTTGCCATCATATGTTCTTGATTTTCTAGAACAGATTTTTGTTTCTAATCAAATCAATCAAATCAAATTCTTTATTTCAAGTAGACCACGAAAGGCACTTTTGAACGTCAAGCGAAAAAGATATCGTAAGGTTTAACTTTACATGTGTCAGTCTGTCCGTTTCTTAATGCGATCTGACTTCGGTTATATTGAATTTGGGTCGTCTTAAAATAGGAAATGTACTAATATCAAACTTACATTACATTTTCAATTACTTCAGTTACAATTGGGGTAAGCAAGATTCCACGAGATCTGAATGCAGTAATACGTTCTGTGGCCCTGCACCATTCTCTGAAGCGGAGACCCAAGCGTTCAAGGTCAGTAAATTACAATAAAATTATCATACAGAAAATTAAATTGGTTTTATCATTTTTGTAGGAACAGAAAAACAAAATGACCTCAAATTGAGTGTGATGAAGTTAATAGCGATTTTATAAACCCTTAAGAGATAAACTATGCTAAATAAGAATAGGATCTCAAAATAAAAAGACCAATAATCATTGGTATTATAATTTTTCCGTAGAAATGTGATATTTTTATCCGACAAAAGTTTCTTCGTAGGCCATATTAGAGGAAAATAGAGAATATTCTCCCCGATTTTGACCTCGTGTCTTATCCCCTTTGGCCTAATGTGGATTAATGGCTATTATACGACTTCAGAACTTTCTTTGCTTCTGATTATTTGTGACGCTTTTGAACTGAACATAAAATAAGGTGTTAAGAGCAATTAAATTTACTAGTTTTGTGTAACTGTATTTGATACAGTTTCTGGTCCCTACCGGGCCCATCACGCTGTTTCATAATAAAAAAATTTTTTGTTTTAAACAAGTTTTTTATATTATTATCACTGGTTCAAAATACATACGATAAATAGGTACATATGTATCTTGTGAACTATTTTCGTTTACTTTGTCATTACCATTTATTATTACTCTTCGTCAAATTTATTATTTTACTAAATTAATCTTACAAGGTAGCTTCTAAGATTAATTTAGTAGATGTCGTGAGACGATCTCCGACCACCGTAAGCGCGGGTCTTTTTTTGAGAGGGGAAAATCATCGAATGACTTTTCCCGCCCAGGGCCGGGAGGGAGGGAGTGTCAGACTCTTACTGACTAAAAACCCCCCTGTTTCTTCTCCTGCTGTAGGCCGAGGTCGCGGTGCCTCATTGCGCTTACCCCGCAACCCCGGCTGAACATCAGCCCTATGGAGCCCTATTGGAGCCGTCTGTGGTGGTCTATTGGCTCTTTGCGGCGCGCGCGGATCGCTACCGGGTCTGGTTCTGGTCGGGCGGCGAGCTACCCTTACTCGCCGTCCGCAGACCTGCGGTAAGCGCAGGTCTGCGGATTCATAGAGCCAATAGACCGCGGCCATGGCCCAGAGAAGGAGAAGGAACAGGGGAGGGGTTTTAAGTCAGTAAGAGTCTGACACTCTATTTGAAGAGTGATTTGATGATTGTCCCCTAACAAAAGAAAGTAATAGTTAAGAAGTTGTGAAGAGCATTTATATTAAATAAATTTAGCAATTTAGCAATTAAAAATGTTGTTTTTCAGAAATTAATAGATGGACCACATTTCTATGGTTATTTGTCTATTCATTCTGCTGGGACGAAGGTTTTATTTCCAATGGGAGTCACTCGCAGCGACCATCCTGAGCAAATTATGATGACCAAGGCTATGGCACAGGTAAGGTTTGATTTTAGTTGTCTTATTTTACTTCTTACTAATATTATAAATGCGAAAGTTACGATGTTTGGATGTTTGTTACTTAATCACTCCAAAACGGCTGGACGGATCTGGATGAAATTTGGCACAGGCATAGGATATACTCTAGAATAGGACATAGGCTACTTTTTATCAACATACCACGTGGGCGAAGCCGCGGGCGGGAGCTAGTAATTTTGTACCTACAAACCGGATTATATGCTGTTGTACATAAAGTCGTATTTGAAATTGCATATTTGAGCTGTTCCTGAGCGGTAATAGCATATTTTACCTTAGATCTAGTTATGATGCATTTTATCGGTGCATTTATCAAATTTTTCACTCATGTATAAATGCTAACATAGCACTCAAGTTTAAATAATATTGTAAATAATCGTAGACACAAAGTCACCACTGAAAATTTAGAAAATATATATTTGAATGTAAACATCGTTCACAAACATTTTAAATAATTGTACCTTGTCGAAAAAAAAAAATACCAATTGAATACTGACTCTTTTTTGGGGAGCCCTAAAAATGTTATTTCATTTCCCATTTTCTGTAAATTTTCATACATATGACTTTTTATGTTGCATATAACACCGTCTCTATTTGTGAACCTTAAGAACAGTACGATTCTATAAAATTTATTTGATTTTGGATCTTGTTCGAGTGTGAAGGGAGCGTCGAAGTGACGGGGAAATTACATTATAGAATGCCACTTTTGACATCATCTCATACTTTATCTATCAAAATGTTGCGGTCAATTTAGTTCAACTCGCAAGTGTAGCGCTAATGTACTAAGCGGATTCAGATTCGAAGTTTAGAATGAAGTCCTACAGAATCACACTGCTGATTCGAAGTTTAGAATGAAGTTTTATAGAAAGAATCACACGGCAGTTCACGTTATTTTTTGACAAAGGAGTTTAAATTATACTTACTAAATCATACTTACTAAATAAAAAAACAGAACTACACGAATCTTTATTTTTTTAACAGGCAATGCGTAGCTTTGACAATATGCAGTTCTTAAGTGGTGATATACATGCTTTGAGGAAAGTTGGCTACGGCATGGCTATGGATTGGATGTACTTCGTCAAAAAGATCACTCATTCATACATTTTGGAGACAAGGGGAGAACATGGATTTGACATTCTTGGGGTCAAAGAGATTTTGCCAGCTGCCAAAGAAATCCGTATGGGTATAATGAAATTCTCTGAACTTATGTAATAGTTATCGATATTTATTGTAAATTTAGTTTTGAGTTATTTACATTAAATATTTGTTTTATAATAACTCATTTTTTTACTTAAAGTCACCATATTTTTCCCCAGCTCTTAGACCACTCACAATCATTATGTTTTCATTTTTATTACAGTCTTATTCTAAACGTATAGCGGTTTGCACCGTCGTAAAAGGAAACCGGCAAAGGGATACAAATATTCTAAATATATGCACACTTTTATTTTTATGTGATAGGACGATAAACGAGCAGGCAAAATGCGTTCGTAAGCAAATCGGCTCCCATCTTGTATACTTAGGTACCTACTACATCAAGGATTCTTACTTATGGATTTGAAGATTGGGGAGGAAGATTTTTAAGTTTGGGAGCACCATGCTTCAACACGAATGGGACGGCTCGATCGGAGTGATACCACGGTCTCACAGAAAACTGGCGTGTGGTTGTTACCACAGCGTTTTGTTTCGCCGTGTGAGTGAGGTTACCGGAGACCCAATCGTTCCCCACCCCCAATCTCGACATTTCGAAATCCTAATTCCCAAAAGGTCGGCAAGGCACTCGTAACTCCTCTGATGTTGCGGGAGGTTGCGGCGGTCCATGAGCGGCGCTGATAGCACACCTTCAGGTATTCGGTCAGCTCATTTGCCGACCTAACACTTAAAAAAATAGGATTGGGCCTCCAGACCTCACACACATGGCGAACGCATTGTTTTATGTCGGGTTTCTGTTAGGCCGTGGTATTACTCCGGTCAAGCAGACCTATTTGTATCGAAGCATGGTACTCCGACACTAAGATTAAGACACCTGAGACTGACTGATACTTTATACCAACTGTATTGTTAGCTAGGGTTATGTATGCTTACAATATTAGAGAGTACTCTAGTACCTATAATTAACGAATTATCGTTTCAAGAATTATTACATATCTTTTTCACAATCCATAGATAATATAGTACAAAAAAGATAATAATTATGAAATAAATAAAATGGTTGGTTATTTTATAACGCTAAATAATACTAAAATAAATAAGGGTCGTTGTATTTATTGACTTTATCGTGAACAATAATAATTAAGGCTCACGTTTTCTAATTTCACGGAGCGCTTTCTCATCACAAAATGTTAATTTAATACGTGATGTAAATATTAACGGAGTGTAGTAAAAATAGAAAATTGTTGACTACATTATTTGTTTCTTCAGTATTTCATTTTGATCCAAATGGCACTGGATTATCATCGTGGTCAATTCAATCAATGACTGTTTACTGGTAGACTAATGGGCATCACCTGTTTTAAGGGACAGGCCAGACAAGCAGACGGATAATCTGATGGTAAGCAATCGGTGCTGCCCATGGAATTGGAGGATTTGGGGAATTGAGGCAGCAATTGATAGAATGATTATACATATTCATATTATTAGGTCTCCAGTAGCCTCGCTCGAAAGTCGAAATTCAACGGAGGCTTTTTTCAACGCTGCTTTTGTGTGAGGCCGTGGTGTCACTGTTATTCATAAACGCATTTGCCATAATTTCTTTGCTAAGCGGGTGAATCGGTAGTAGGTCAAAAAGTTCAAGTTCGTCGCGTATATGTCACAATAAAATTTTAGCCAGTTATTTTATTAAGGTTTTTAGAAGAAGATATCATCGTGCATTAAATAAAGTTCCAGGATCCAATAAAATTTTGGACGTCATAAATCTCCGCTACACTTTTTCTTCTGGATATTGGAACTGAATCTGGACAGCGTGCATTATTAATCCTGTGTTTCAGTGTAAGTCAGTAATTGATAAACTTTTTCTTTATTTCGGAGTAAACCCGAATAAATCAAAATCCAACTTCAAAGCACTATTTTAATTCGGCGTTAACTTTTTAACTTTAGAAAAATTTGATCATAAATCAGGCACAGAGAAAAATAATTATACCCAAAAATTTTAAGTTAGAACATTAATCCCGAACTTTGGGGTGTCAAAAGAATTCGATAAATTAATAATTCCATTAAAAGTAGTAGTAGTTTCGATCTACAATAATAACAATTTTTGTACGAAATTCACGCGATTCTGTTCACATTGGAAGTTTTGAAACTTTTTGCTTTTACGTTCAGTTATGGCTATAAAGAATTTGTTATTAGCTGGGAGCTGTTCTGAACTTTTCTATTATGCTATGTATTGTGGAGCCATTTTAGCCAATGATACTTTAAGTTTTTCGGAGGTTGAAAAAGTTAGGCGATCAGATTTTTTGCGATGTCCTCAATTTTTTAGTACGTAGGGGAAACTATCTTAAATTGCTCTAGATGTGTAAGTTTTGCAAAATAAAACAATACTTAATAATATAGCGTACTCAATTTGGCTATTCATTTAATAAAAAGTAAATCATTTACAATTTTAATACATTAAAATATCGAAATTAAAATGATCCAATAGAATATTTAACTCTACGATTGGCGCTGTGGCTGGGCAAATAGCTGCAACGTGTTGCGGGTTTCGATTCCCACATGGATTGAGACCTGTACATACGTGTGACGCTTAGCGTAACCCGCGAAGCTCTCAGAACCCATTAGACTATAATATAATAAGACTACCACAAGGCTGATGTTTAGCTGGGGTTGCAGATTAAGCGCAATAAGGTACCGCGGCCTCAGCCTGCAGCAGGAGAAGGAATAGGGATATTTTTCTTCAGTAAGAGTGCCATTTCATCTACATAGGACCCTACTTGTCCTATGTAGATGAAATGGCAGACTTCGGTTTGGACTTGGTTTGGTTTTTCTTGGGTCTGCAGACGGCGGGTAAAGGCAGCTCGCCGCCCGACCAGAACCAGACCCGAGCGTACGGTGCGTAGCATTCCGCGCGCGCCTGAAAGAGCCAATGGACCACCACAGACGGGGCCCTATAGGGTTGATGTTCAGCCGGGGTTGCGGAGTCGAGCAGGAAAAGGAACGGGGGGGTTTTAGTCAGTAAGATTCTGACAATTTTGAATAATTACATTTAAGTTCAAGCAGGAAATAAGAATGCGGCTTATTGCTAGATAATCTCAAGGTCAACAAAAGGATTATTTGCTAAATAATCAAACATCTTTTGCAGTTGGATGATTCAACTCGAGACCATTCCGTTTGTATACAATCGGCAAACTATCGAACCGTCAAAGTATGTAAGGCTCACAAGAAACATTACATAAAGAACATTATCCGCACACGTACCTATATTCTCATTCATACACAAACATGTGTGCTTAACGAATACTTAACCGACCAATTAATTTGACCTCTTTCTATAACAGGATTATACGCGAAACTAACACAGGAAGGGGTTCAAAGTACACTAGTTATCCTATAAAAGGAACTCAGATTCTCCACCCACGAGTACAACTATTCAGTATCGTTGACAATAGAATAATACACCTATTTTCAATCTTTTATTTTCCGTGAATTTTTCCATTTCAATACCAACAGGTATTTCTATAAATAAATAACAAAAACGAGCATATTTTTTTGGTTTTATTTTATAATACAAAATAGGTTATATGAACTACGAGGCTATATATTATATTATACAATTTAAGGTACTCAAAGAATAAAATAAAAGAATAAAAGGCAATACTGTATAAATATTACATATACATAATTTTATTTAGGGATGTAGTTATTTTAAGTACCTACGTTAGATCCATGTTTGGGCTCGTGAATGGTATTTGGCTGTGTTCTTTTCCTCACATCCCTATCCTCAATCCCCAATCTGAAAACGCCCCATCCCCAAACTGCCAGCAACACACACGTACCTTCTATATTTTATCAAGTGTTCTTCTGTCTGTTCGTTTGCTACTGGTTAAATGTTACAGTGTATACCTAAACTGTATTATATTTCGAAGAACATTCAATAATATTTTTCCAACACCAAGATTGAACCTAACTCATCAATCAAATTGAACGAGGCCGTCTGCAACGTAATTAAATACCATTATACTTACAATAAAAGCAATCAACTAACATTAATTGAAACTGGGCAAAAACTTACCTATACATAGTAATGCGTAGGGTTGTACCCACCCACAGTTTGTTTTCACATGTCGATGCCGCGCGGTCGGTTTCAAATTATCGAACTGTGTAATCGGAAACAAAGCCGCTCCGTGGCCTGGCAAAAGAAAATAAACGACATACGATAAAATGGTACTAAGGGAACTCGATTTTTGTAGATGTTTTATAGTTTACCTAAGTAGTAGAGAATACATTTTAACAAAAGTGAAAAGATTTTTTTTCAGTGGAGAAAATCATTGAAAGACTATTTTGCCCTGGGTAGAGCGAGAGGGAGTGTCAGATTCTTACTGACTAAAAACCAGCCCGCTCCTTCTCCTGCTACAGGCCGAGGTACTTTATTGCACTTACTCCCGAACCCCGGCTAACAAGTGAACAGGGTTAGACCTCTTTTAAGCATATGCGAAGTACATTACAGCAGCAGATCATTGCCTGCAAAAAACACAAACATAAACATTATGAGCTGCACGACAAGCCATGTGTGCGAAAACGAGGTCTTATGGTCAATATTTGAATGAGCTAATTTAAAAGCCAAAATTAAAACAGGTTCGAGCGTATGGCACGTAGCGTTCCACGCGCGCCCATAGACAACCTCAAACGAGGTCCTATAGCGCTGATGTTTAGCTGGGGTGACTGGGAATGCGCTATAAGGTACCGCAACCTAGAGCCTAGAGCAAGAGAAGGGGAGTTTTCTGTCAATATGAGCCTGACACTCTGTCCAGACAGAGAGACCTCACCCTGATTATACCCTCACGAAAAAATCGTTGGTAAGTGAATATGATCTTATACAAATTGAGCGCAAGTACCTTAACGCAAAATCTTTTTCAAGGTCGACGAGACAAAAGTTGCATACAATTTGAATTTCCTCACAGTTAATACCCACAAGAATTTACGTGAATGGCGACAACGATACCATAATCTCAGTGTTGCGAGTTTAAATAGTAATTCTGGCGACGAATACTCGGGGAAAGAGCAACTCGATATGCTTCAAACAAGTCTAGCGAGGAAAAGATAGCAGTATAACAAGAGACGGTCCTATCATCGATTCTCTGATACAATGACAAATTGGTTTGTGATATGAAATTTTTCTGAGAAATAGTTTGGATTATGAGATGCATAGAGTCTATTTTAGGTTGGATTACTCTTGAGAATTTTCTTATTCTTCTGTAGAAAATGGTTTATACATATGTATGTATAAAATGTCGTGTACACTTCTATTTTATCCGTAGTGACACCTGTTTAACATCTGAAGGGATTGATGAAATGTAACTAAAGATTACTGTCAATTGCCTAGACACATTTCTATAGTTTTTAAAACAACCGCCCATAGAATGATTGTTCAACACATCAAGTTACATTGGAAACATCAAGCGACAGCATTCAGCATTCATAGTCCAATAATGCCTTTACAACAAAACCTTCATCCCAACAACGGAATACCTATTCATAGGGAAAACTTTTAAGCGGCTTACGTGTGGTCACGTGACACGAACGCATTGTTGCATGCATGTATTTTTAGAACAATGCCGTGGAAAACCTGCCCACACTGCAAGTCCCACGCAGAACATATGAAAATAGATTTCCATATAAATATTACACGGTTAAATTTTAAGCTAGTATTTTCTGAAATGGAATATTCAAAAATATTGCGTATTATTTATAGAAATCAAAATGTCAAAGTTTGTAGTGAAATGAATTTTGTTACGCTAATTAGCAGTAATTATTTGGTCGTGTGAAATAATAAACGAAAACAAAGTTGTACGGTAAACGAATTATAATTATCAGTCCGGGTTGCGAGTCAAGAGCAATACATCGAGATCCGGTTTAGAGCAGGAGAAGGGACGGGGTTTTTAGTCAGTAAGAGTCTGATACTCCCTCTCGCCCCATTCTGGGTGACAGAAGTCATTTGGAATCACCGATTAAAAAAAACGATGATCGACGCAACAACAGCGTTGTGTTTCGCCATGTGAGTGAGGTTACCAGGGGTCCAATCCTTCCTCTCTCCTATCTCAAAATCTCCGACACCCTAATCCTCAAAAGGCTGGCAACGCACTGACATGACTTCCAAACCGCCAAGAATTCTCTAGCAACCATGCTCGCTCAATCATGTTTATTTGTATAAGGAAAATAATAAAAAAGTACAGAGTATGCAATAAAGAGTTATGTATCGATTACGCTAGAGCAATCATAAGGCAGGGAGGGTCGTTAATTCCGAGTCCGAGGCAGTGCGGTTCAGTTAGGGGCATCTGGGGTATTTTTTGGGCGAACCTTTTTTGTCTTATTCCGTAGTATGAACAAACGTTTTTCATTAGTCTAGCTTGAACCCTAGTCTTGTATTGCGGTAGTAAAGTTTGTCGTTATGTGGGCTTGAATTGTGAAAGGCGGGTGAAGATGGAAGTGGTTATAGACAGAAAGAGCGAGGAGTTTCGGGCGATTAAGTTATTTTGTGATGATCTTTATTTGGAATTTGCTATTGGTTATAAAGTCGCCATATATTTGCATTGTAGATTCTGACCAATTGGAAAAAGTTAATGACCGATGGTAGTTTTTTTTGTACGACTTCAAATCGAGGTACACAAAATTAATCGTAGTACAAAATTACTAAATATGCAACTATAGAAAAAAATATCTCAATACAACTTCTTGTGCATACGATATGACTGCTAGGGAATAAAAACGGGGATATTATATATACACAAGATATCTTCAATTTAACCTAAATTATTAATAAAATGTGTTCAGTTTTCTACAGAAAAGTTAATTAAAACGTAATTTATTATTTTTCTTTTTTACCTCAAGCATCGTCGCGCAAAGATGTCAGCCACGCTTTGAAATTCAAATTTAAAATTAGAAGTCCCATACACTTTTTAAAATTCACATTTAGAACGCGAGGTGTATCTGGAACAAAGGCATTTGAGGCACGACTTGATTTGGGAAATAAAAAGCGGAATAAGGTGAGATTTTGTTGAGGGAAGCTAATATGTTATTTTAAAAACTTTTTTTATAACATAGGACAGCAAAGAGGCATATTTCTTGATGGTAAGCAGTTGGCGCCGCCCATGGACACCCTCAATGACCAAGGAGTTGCGAGTGCGTTGCCAGCCTTTTCGGGAATAGGATTTTGCAGATTTAGGGATTGGATAGGAGTACTTACTTATGCTTTAACCTGTGTATATTCAGTTTGTGTTTCAGTCTCAATGGAAGCTAGTCACAAGGTATTTGCTGAGGCAATCAGTGCGAATATTCTCGAACAATTTCTATGTATTGTGTATCGAGATGCTGTGAATTTGAGAGACCTAATTGGAGTCAGGTTTCGACAAACGATGTAGCAATTAAATTGTGTGTTATATATTATTATAGGTATATTGGTTTTAGGAACTTCTATGAATGTATGTCGTAGCTTTTTTATTTATGTTGAAGTTACAAGTTGCTGGAAGAGTTTTAGCACGCGGTATTAGGGTAAAGAGTAGCTTGTGTTATGTCAGAGCGATCCATTTTATTTAGACAGCAAAATGTTATTTAGACCTACACCTGTGTTGCCATTTTTACATGAAAGACTTATCAGCATCCATTTAAACTTACAAATTAGGATTAAACAAATAAAAAATGACATTTATTTCATATCAGACACGCCATTATGAGCAACAAAGATATGTATAAATAAATAAAAAAATACAATTAAACTTATAAAAAAATGCAATTCGGTTATGTATATTAAAGGAAATATACAATATTACAACTAAAACTATAAAAACAAGATTTCATTTCAAGTTAGGATCTGAGATAACCTAATTCTGGTTTCGATTGGCACACTTGTGTGTTAAATAAAAAAATAAGAGTTAAAAATCTAAACATTTTTATTTATAAAATATAAAAAAAACTGAGTAAGTATAAGATTAAATATTACACTATTAGTGATAAAATAAATGCTGTAACGCGCCGTCCGAACCTCTGTATTTGTGGCAACTTCACGCATGCGCGGGAGATCTACCTTGTCCCGCTAACGCACTGCGCAGCTGCGCGCGCCGCGTCGTACGCGCGAGCTTCAGTCCGCCCCCGCTAACGGCCGCGACGCGCATAAATGTATCGCGTCCGCGACCTTACGTGATTGTTTCTCTAACTAATTAGTTTTGTGACATTGTGTAACTGATTGATTGATGATTAGACTCTCTTTATCTAAAGACATGGTTTTCTTTCGTTCGTGACACCCCAATAGAAACAAATGTCATAAGTGGCGCTCCAACTCGTGGCCGCGAACCAGTTTAAACCAGTTTGTGCTTGCCGGCGGTTAACGTTTTTCGGTGGTCCTGTGTTCCTGTTCTCTGATACCTACGTAAAGAGTGAAGATGCCTCCACGTAAAGTACGAACGGACCAAAAACCCGGTGACGTTGACGCGCAGTCCAGCTCAGATGAAGAACCCAGAAGATCTTCGCCAGTGCTCATGTCTGGTGACCAGCTGACTTCATTTCTTACCGCCTTCGCGAATTCTCAGGCGGAAGCAAATCGGCAGCTCGTCGAATCCCTCATGGCATCGCACGCGGCAGGTGGTTTTACCGCGACGCCCTCGCCGACACCGTCGTCGACTAGCAAAGCAGGCAACATGTCCAAGTGTACGGCACGTTTTGATGGTCAAAACCGAGATCCTGAAATTGTGGAATCCTTCATCGACTCCGTCGAGATGTACAAAGAGTGTGCATTAGTCAACGATGACCTTGCGCTTCGTGGTCTCCCGATGCTGCTCCACGGCGAGGCTGCAGTATGGTGGAGAGGGATCCGGACGGAGGTGTCCTCGTGGTCCGAAGCCGTCAAACGACTACGTAGTATGTATGGTACTCCGTGTCCTGCTCATAAGCTGTATCGAAAGATATTCGCTAACGAACAAAGTGAAGAACTCGCGGACTCCTTCATTGTACGTATACGAGGTATGATTGCTAAGTTTCCTTACGTATTACCCGAAGAAGCTAAGATAGACATAATATACGGATTATTACATAAACGTATCCGAAAGCGATTACCCCGGGACACGGTTAACAGTATTGAGTCGTTAATCGACAAAGCCCGGGATATAGAAGAATCCATCATGGAAGATTCCAGTGCAAGTACTTCCTCGCAGTCAGCGCACTCGGCGCCAACGGAGACGACGACGCCAACCGCGCGGAGCGCGCCTGCCGGCCCGCGGGCGCCTCGCGCCGCTGCTACGTGCAACAATTTGGCGGGAAACGGTGTGACGACCCCATCGCTCAGTGGTGCCGGAGCGCAGCAGTCGATCTCGCGTTCGCAGGTTCGATCCGTACGTGATACGTGTAACGAAGTGCTAAGTGCCGATAAAAATAATACCGCGAGTGGATCAAAGTTATTTTGTGTGTATTGTAAAAGTCGAGGTCATACGCGTGATTTGTGTCCAAAGAAAGACTCTAAAGTATCGTCTAGTAATAATAAGTCTAGCCTTATTTGTTATGGTTGTGGTGAAAAAGGGTTTGTACGAGCTAATTGTCCTACTTGTAAAAGTAATGTATCGAGTTTGAGTTGTAATGTTATTAGTTCAAAGGAACCACAACCTCAACATAATGTATTTTATTCACTTACCACCACACAAGACTGTTTTAATGTAAGTAGTACTTGTACAAATAATATCATTACGCAGGACCGACCTATATTAAATATTGAGATATTAGGGTATAGTGGTTCAGCGCTTATAGATACTGCCGCCCGGCGTAGTATCGCGGGTTCAATGCTGTATA